TTGATCGGCTATATTGAGACCGGTACCTTTTAATCTTCCCAACAAAGTGTCACATTGACCTGGAGCGTATTATCGGCATATTTATCTTATCTGTTTTAAGCATTTGTGGCTTCCTATTTTTCCTCTCAAAGTTAGAGTACCAATAAAATTGATTTGTAATATTCAAGGGTCTAAAGTCAAGTAAACAATATATAAATTATGACATATTTGGATTGATATGTCTGTGTCTTATCAAGAAAAGTAATAGTCTATGTTACATATAATGTAGGTAGTCGATTTCTCCCGAGATCGATCATTTTGATTGGTGTATTCTGTTTTCACTGTTTAATAACAGGTTTCAGTGTGGTTGTTATTAGAAGGAAGTTCAAAATGAATTGTGATGTTGTCTAAGTCTCCTTTGTAAATATTGTGGTTTATGGACCATATTATCACAATTTCTATAGGTAAAGGTTTCGAACATGTTGAGTATTGTATCAGTTAGGTTCTTAATTTTGTTTGTTGACCTTTTGTTCATAATATAATTTCTTTCTGATCAATCATTTTATCAAATGTTTACCAGAGTTATCTCCCTTCCCTGTTTCTTATGTACATTAAATTACAAATTCAGTTCATTATGATTAGTGCTTAAGCTCACACAGATGTAGTGTATGCAGATTTTGCAAACTGTAAGAATAAATAATATTGTTTTGCCTTTAATTTGCTGTGTATACCTGCTAATAATGAAAATGACAACAGCTAAGTCGACTATTTGGTTCTGTTTCGATAGTGATGTTGTTGTTTTTATTTTACACATGTTGCACACTATTGAATTGATAAAACTGCATGACATCTGTTGTCATGTCTAAAACAGTGTGCAGTCACTTGACTTAACCACTGACATGTGCCCTATTTGATGCATTATATTTTCTTCAGCAGAATGAATTAAACTGAAACATGATTGTGAACTAGTTTCTAGTGTTATCAGTTTATTGTTTGAAGATGTTCTCACCTTGGTACTAAAAATTTGTTCTAAATGTTTCATTATTTTATCAAAAGGTATCCTTTTGTTTTTACATTCAAAATCAGACTATGATTTTGTTTGTTCTTTTCCGCTTTGCCTGTTATGAATGAATTTGTACATGACCCCAGCACAGTTTAGTAGTCTAAGGCTAGCAAACTTGTGAGATTTTGAAGACTGCTGTATTGTCTGGTCACTGCATCATTATCTGTGATGATTTGCAGGCTGTCATCATTTAGCAGGAATATTGCTGAATCGCCTGCATGTCTGTGTAAAAATTACTAATTGAAAACATAGTAGGTTATCACCAAAACACACAAGTGTGATAACCTATTTATCATGCAATCTTATCTTACTTTATAATTTTAAAAATGCGATTTCTTGAAATAAAACTTAGTGGAATGTTCACAGATATCACAAATATGCGCATAGTAATACGTTACATCACAAGTTCGGTGACACAATTTTCTTTTGATCACTCATTGACTGCGTTAGGTCATCTAGTTCCAAGTAAGTTTTTATGTTAAAGCACGTATTGTTGTCAACAAATCTTAGCTAACGTTTGAAAAATACCAACACACTTGTGTGGAACTTTAGAAACCTTCAATTAACATTTTGAACAGCAAATATACTTTAATGTTCGCGTGACATTCTGCACTTGGATTCCTTTGCCGTCTGCTCGCTAACACTGACAATCGGTCGGGGAACTGGTGTTGGTATCTTCGTAAGCCTATGAATTTCTATCTTCGCATCTTTATCCAAACCATCTATCATATCCAGACATGAATTTTCTTTGATCAAAGCACTGACAGTACCGTAACCACGGCCGTCAGTCCGGACATGATCGTCGATGTGTGACCCCATGTTTGTTTACACTGTGAAAGTAGTCCCTGAACTTTGCATATGGCCTTTCTAATTTGCATCAATATCAGCATATGACCCCAACAGATACCGAAAATAACTGTTGGCTTTATCCTGCTGAGAACGCAATCCATTGTATGATAGAAACCATTATCAGACTATTTCTTAGTTTCTTGTATACAAATACCCATGAATAATTAAAAACACCAAATAGTATTTTTACCAAATCTAGCATTTTCAGCTTGTATTATATACATGTTTGATTTAACAGATCTGTTTTGCTCAAACCACACATTGAATATATTTGAACTTTATTTTAGCTAATAATCTTTCATGTTATTAGATAGATGGGTATATGTGGTTCATAAGTTAGATAAATATTTCTGTTATGGGCTGATGACATGGGACACACTTCTGGCAGGAAGTGAACAGATGCAAATGAAAAGTCGATCAAATGTTTTGAGTTTACATGTATATTTTAATAAAATCCATTGGTTAATAATGCACGGTATCTGGTACACGAAGAGAGTAAAATATTACTCGCTCAAATACTACCTCTGATAAAAGCGTTATCAAAAATTCATAAGCTGTCAGTCTTTTAGTTAGTTTTCTGTTTGCTATCCTGAGACTACAATATTGTGGGAAGGACAACTGAAAATCTGGTATCTTGACATTTGCATGGGAGATAACTCAATGGTACCCTTTGAGGGTTATAATTCTTATCAGCTCTCCATACTTTCATTTTACAGTGATTCAGTCTAGCAGTAAATAGCTATGAACTTTGAGGATATTTGTTGGAACCAATTCTTTTTACTTTTCCTGAAACTGAATTTCTAGGGTTGAGTCGTAATTCTGAAATTGTGTCAATCTGTTTCAGAACTGGATAATCACGGAAGAAAGATGGAGAAGCAATACTCTGTACAGTTCTTCACATCATTTGTGGAGAACCTCCAGAGATTGTGTCAAAACTACATCAGCTACGACCAAATGGTGGAAGTGAGTGGCTACATCAGTGTAGAAATTGATAATGCCAAAAAGGAGAGGTACGTTCTCAGTGAACTGGTGCAGAGTACTGGCAATGTCATCAGTGAAAGCTACTGCACCAAGGTGTTCAAGAACTGCCCTCTGCCTGTCCAGAGAAGTCCTGGTCAAAGAAGAGAACCACCCGTTATGTCTCAGATGAGTCCAGCTGCAAAGAGACCTCTCAACCAGACTAGTCCTCGGTTAAACAGAATGGGGCAGAGTCCACAGATGAACAGGCAGATGAGTCCAACAGGTGTGTTGCGGTCAAGTAATGATAACAACCAGAGACCATCATTCAATCAAAGATTGAACCAAGCATCAGGATTTGGTGCTGGGAGAGGAGGTCCTCAAAGGATGAACCCAAATTTCTCTAATAGTGGAAATATGAGAGGAGGCATGCAACCCAGTCAGAGGACAGGGAATCAGGTGCCAGGTGTAAACCCAGTTGGGAGACCTAGCTTAGGAGGCAACCCCCCGGATGATGAACCCATCACAGCGGATGAACCCACAGGGTGGGGGAATAAGGCAACCAGGCCAGATGTCGTCACCTGGGCAGAGACCAGGTGTGAACCCAAGTCAGAGGATGGGACAGCAAAGTAGTAGTGTTAACTCGATACAAGCTCGTAGGACCTTTGGACCTGGCCAGAGAACTCAGCCACAACAGTCCAGATCCCCAGTCGATGATTCTGATGAGTTGGAAGTCATCTCATTTGTTCCTCCTCCTAGAAGATCTGTGGGTGAAGCTTCAACATCATCTCTGTCCAGTGGAACCAGGAGTCCTTCAACTCCAGAAACATCATCAGTTACAAGCAACAGGCCACCATTCCCATCAGGAAACAGATCTGGCAGCAATAACCCTTCTTCACAACCAACGTCGCAGGCACAAAATAATTCACAGTCGATGGTGTTACCTGTATCACTTGTTCAGAATGTTGCTCAGCCTACTGCACCTCAGACATCAAGGAACCAAAGTAATCCAGGGCAGCAATCTTCACAGAATCAAAGCATGAGTAATTCTGGGTCCCAAGTGTCCCAGGCTTCACAGCAGCTGGGACATCAGAGTTACCAAGGCCAGAACACGCAGCAGAACATGCAGCAGAACATGCAGCAGAACATGCCACAACCATCTCAACCATCAGAGCCCATGTCACAACCACGGCCATCACGACAACAGATAGTGCAACAGATGTTAGAAGCCAGAGCTAATCGCATCTTGCCCCCTACCTTACCACAGCAGTCCTCACAACCAGTTTCACAGCAGAGCTCTCAACCCATGCAACAGCAAGGAACACACACCATGGCATCCCAGCACTCGTCCCAGCCAGTGTCTCAAAAGTCTACCCCGCCTGTTCCACAGCAACTATATCAAAATCAAAACTACCCACAGATGCCCCAACCCCCTCACACGCCCCCTGGACAGATAATGTCCAGCCCTTTACCAGACACTAACAGAAATGTCTGGGATCAGATGAACCCGCCTCCAAGTTATCCTTCAGGAGTAGACAAAAAAGATCCAGGACTTTTGGGGTTAAACCTCCCAGGTATGGAGACAAATGTTGATTCTACTGCTCCAATGGAAATCAGTGCTAGGAACTCGTTCATGGATTCAGTTTCTGATAGATCGTCTCTGGCTGTGTCCTCATCTGCACCAACAGTTGCGACATCAGCTCACTTACCTTTTCCAGAGGACCCTTTAGGAAGTTTACAGATCTCTAATGTTGTTTCCCTTCCACAAGGCACTCTCCCAGACATCGAGTCATCACGCATACCAGCTTCTTTCCCAGAACTGAATCCATCAAGCACCCCATCCATCATCGCTGAAGCATTTGCCTCTTTAGATCCAGCGACTCTCTCTGAAGCTACAACTTCAGAACTTCCAATGACATCAGAGGTGAACTCATCAATGTCTTTGGACAAGTTAGCAGATGAAGATGATTTACCCAGTAAAAAGGCCAGACTAGGCTTGGATACATCCGACTTGGTCGGAGGCCCAACCTCAACTGTTGCATCAAACTCCTCCAAACCAATGGTACCGATTGGAAGAAAACTGAAAGAATTTGCAGCAAAGAAACGAGCTAAACGAGGCCGGCCAAGACTTGACAAACCCCCAAATATCGACAAACCAGACATGAGTGATGGAGAAAGCGTAGCTGATTTTGATGCTGAAGTGGATGTAGATCCAACCAATATGACTCTAAGAAGCCGGGGAAGGAATCCGCTGCATGCGAGCCTCCTACAATGAAGACTCAGACAGTGATTCAAGTCTGCCTGAAGCCTTCCGTTTGAACTTTGATCCTGCAGTCTCTACATCAGCTGGATTGGTGTTGTCTGGGGAGGGTTTACAAGATGATGAAAAGGATTTGGGCAAGGATTTGGGAGGAGCGGGAGCAGATACAGCGCCAGCGCCAGTTGATGGCAATCCAGGTGACTTTTGTACCCCTGTTTACATGGCTTAGGATTATACATGCTAATTAAACCTGTAAGTGTGTCCGCCTATCCTTTCTCTTTCATGTGTTCAACTCACAAGTGTTCATCAATGTCTTCTAGCAGCAGCTGCTTATCTCCCAATTCACGTCATTACATGTGACTAACAACTTCTGGTACTGTTGACAAGGCTTTCATTTATCTTTTAACCACATGGACAATTCAAAAGCACAACCTCAAGATATATATATATATATGTACGTGTAACTTTTCTTTCACTTTTCTTTTACAAAATCAGTGGAATATGTTCGGATGAACTATTTAATAACATTTTCATGTTTTGTTTACATTCATGTTGAACCATGATTCTGGGAATCAAACCTAAAATGTATATCTTCATGACTGTCACTTCCCTGCTTGCCCAAATCCCATGTATGCAACATGTTAGGGACGTGCTTAAAGGTTCAATCTTGGCTTGAAGCGGTAGTCTTTCTGGCTCGTGATTTAATAAATGAGTAAAATGTTAAGACTTTGTTGTGGAAGTTATCAGATGTGTTCATGTTAGAATGATTAATGGTTAGACTTTACTCGTGTCAAAAGGATTAGAGGATTCATTAAGAACTTTTTCTAATATTTGAAGTCTCAGACCCCAGCTGATTGTCTATCTAAATGTAGGTAAATATATTACACATGGAAAGTGTTCACTGTGGGTCACACACATGCTCATTATTAGATTTTCTGTTTATGTTTGGAAACCCTGCCCTTTTCACTAATGGTGGAAATTTTCCTTTAACTTCTTAAATTTTGATGTCAGGGGGTCCAAATCTTGCAAGTGGTAGATAGAAACATTTGAACATGTCTGATAATTTCATTCTATTGTTTCAAAGTTTGCCTAGTTGCAAATTGTACATTTGTTGTGGGCATTTCTTATGGGACAAAGAGAATGTAGTCTTGGAATCATTCTTTGCAAGGGTTATGAGGGAAATTTCTAAAGCTTTTTACTGCATTTGCTTTTCATATGATTCCATATTGCTATGATTAGCTGGTACAGCCTAACAGCTTTGTTAGTGGTTGTGACTAAGAAAACCAGTGTTGTCATATATGGTTGTAAGTTGACTATTGAAAACTTTGTCCCATTTTGTCCATGTTCTCACGATAGTGTAGGAATCAAGGTATTTCGAATTCCTAGGTCATCATGAACACTGCTGAAATTTCTTCTTATCATGTTTAATGAGTAATATGTAATATTACCATGCTACTGAAATGGACAATTATTCATTATCACAATTAGAAGTATCCTCGTAGAGCACATCTTTTCAAGAACAAGAGTAAACAAGCTCTTCATAATGGTCAGTATCACAATTATCAACATGTACCCTTAGTCAGCACCTGCTTGTGTTCCCTCTTATTAAACATGGAAATTAGAAAAGATATGGCGTCCTCTAGACCCTACTTTTTCTTTGATGTTAACACGATTTGCAATATTTGTCGTCAGTGAAATGTGACTCCTGAACTTTCGTTGGAATTTGGCCCCACCACCATCAGTGACATTTTTCTTAGTACTTCAACTCACATATTCTTTACCTTAGAGATTTGACCTCCTTAGGCTTCTTCCAGGATGCCTTGGTGAATTAATTTTGCACATGTTACAAAATGGTCAAAGGTCAAGGTCATGAGAAAGATGAAACTGAAATGATCAAATCTAGGTTAGGACATAACTTTGAAAACGTTTTGGTCAGCTTGAAACTGTTCTTAAAACATGGTTGGACCGTTGTCAGTTTCAAAGTGATAGTTACATTGACAATGATGGAACTTTATATTGACTTGTTCCTCAGCATGTTCAGAAATCTTACTACTTCAAATGTCATGTCCAAGTTCATTTTCAACAATAGTGAATATGTCAAGATTATTGAAAAAAAATATTCTGCAATTGTCTTAATCCTCATGCATCTGGAGAATCCTTTTGGCACATGCAATAAGAATGTCTAGGTCAAGGTCATGTAACTGTAACAAACACTGTTGTGAAAGCTGTTTTATGTGTCTCTTTCACATATTGGTGTTATAAGCAAAGGAACAGAAACTGTGAAGTACCGACATAGGAATATATATGACTCACAGGTACAAGTACCATGTTTGTTAGCTGTGGAAGCCTATTTACTGTCTGGGTAAGTCTGAGAAAAGTACTTTGTCTACAGACAGTCATGAACATGGTCAGCAGATTGCTACTGTACCTTGAGTTGTTTCGTTTCAGAATCTTTGACATTTATATTATTGTGGTGTGTTGTGTGGTGTTGGTGAAACAATTTTAGCTGTGGAAACCTCAAAGCCTACTTTCAACAAGTTAATATTTTTTTGATACCTTTAGACACATGTATGACTTCAGTTTGAAATGAAGTGAAACAGGGTTTTAAGGGTCATAAGCTCAAATTTACGAAGGGGATGGGGGCAGTGGGGTAGCCTTGTGGTTAAGGTGTTCGCTTGTTATGGCGAAGACCCGGGTTCGATTCCCCACATGGGTACAATGTGTGAAGCCCATTTCTGGTGTCCACCGCCCTGATATTGCTGGAACATTGCTGAAAGCGGCGTAAAGCCCAACTCACTTCCTCACTCCAAAGGGGATGGAGAACATTTTCTGGTGTTCCAATTTGGGTTCGACACTGATGCGTGATATGTTCATTCTGTTCTAAATGGAACTTTGAAGTCCACAGCTAAAATTATCAGTGTTGTCAACACTCACAGAACTTGGTTCATTTCTTTCTATTGCACTTTAGTCACTTACAGGTTCTGATAAAGTGGCCCATTCTACAGATATTGCTGATTCAAGGAAGACTCCGGATGTCCTGTCTGAAGCTGACAATGAGAGCTACATTTTGATAGAACTGGAATCGGATGATGATGATGATGATGACACATGCTCAGGTGGGGCTGACTCTTCCACAGTTGTTGTCAAGCAAGAGTTGTCTACCTTCTCTAAGAGTGTGCAGTTTGCGATCAATCGTCTCACGCAGTTCATGATCCTAAAGAAAGTCAAGGAGCCAGCGTACACCATTATGCCTGAAAAACTTGATCCTCTTCTGGCTGAGTTCTATCTTCGACTGAGGAAAAATGGTGGCCGAGAATTCATGTCCTCCAGCTTAAAGCAAATCCAGAACTGTATAGGAATCTACCTTTCCACAAATAGCTATCCATATTGTATCAAGAGTGACTCCAGGTTTGAGAATTCTAGGAGAGTTATGGAAAACAAACTCAAGCATCTGAGATCCTGTGAAGATGCAATTTTCACCATGAGGTCTGAAGATGTAGATAAGCTTTATGAAATTGGACAACTTGGCAGCAAGTCAATTGACAGTTTACTCAACACTCTGTGGTTGATGAACACTGTCCACTTCTGCATCAAGAGGCCAAAGGAGCATATCAGCTTGAAGTGGGGGGAGATCAAACTTGGCCGAGAAAACCACCAAGAGTATCTTGAGTATGTGCCTTCAGGAAAGATTGTTTGGAAGAGGCATGACAATCCTCAGAGGTGCTTTGTGACTCTGTACAAAAAATATAGAAGCCTAAGACCAGCTACAGCACAGAGCTCAGGCTCAACCTTCTATCTAGCCATTACTGACAAGAAAGATGGATTCAAGCATCAGAAGTATGGGGAATACAAGATGGCCAATATCTTCAAGAGGATGCTGTCCAGTGCAGGTTTGCCTCCTGAGATGAAGATTTCCTGTCTGGAAATCTTGTAATGTGTGATTTCATGGTGGAATGGACTGTTATTTCTTTGCAGCTGATGATCTTTCAAAGACATCTGTGTTCCTTTTCAGCAGTCTCTTGTTTGGAAGATTATATATTTTTTAACTCTAAATGTTGAATACTTGTGGATGTTTCAGAGCTGTTAACATTCATTGTATTTTTGGTATTGTGAGATTCGTTAGGTATGTAGGTCGGAGAAGTGTTTAGCTTTGTCTGTGTACGTTTCACACATATTTGATATGATGTCCTCTTAAGGGTTTCCCTTCCAAAACTGCTTATTTGTTTATTGTTGACAGATGAAACCAGGACAAGATGAAGTCCATGAAGTGTCCATTTCTGAAATGGAGACACATTTTCCTTAGTTTCAAAGATTTATTTATTTTCAGGACTGTAGTGAAAGAAAGACTCTTTCAAAGCAGCTAGATTTCTCTCATCTATGCATGGAAATAGTCTTTTGAGCTTGTTGGAGGTTAACCACATTTTCATATAGTGCTTCTGTTTAATTGTCTCGTCTGAGAATGCAATCTAGATGATTTTAGATATATAGCTTTATGTGTATTAGTTTCGTTATAAACATGGATGTGTTTGTAATTGTCTCGTAAAATTGAGAAGTACGTTTTTCTATAACTAGCAGTAGAATGTCTGCTATTTTCACAAAAGACTTTTTTCAGCCTTATCATGTTGGTCATTGCTTTGTAGGAAAAAAGTACCATTGTCAACTTCATTCGTCTGTCCACACTTGTGTATGTTACATGTTTGGTATGATTTAGGTGGTTTGTGATTTTGTCACTGTTATCAAAAGCCCTTATGATTATCAATGTTTCAAAGTAATATATGATTTTATTGCAAGATTTGTATCCTACCATGATCTTAGTCCTGTTATCATCATTAGATGCTATGATTAGAATAGTGTCTTACAAGTCTGCTGAATGTGAATTAGAGATAGTTTAGAATCCATACGACCTCATGATGTCTTTTAACCGACCTCATGATGTCTTTTAACCTGCTAGTCCCGTTCAGTGGTCCACTTTCCGTCCTGTGTCCTTTTCGAGCTAAGACATGAAAACAGCTGTCCTGGACACATGTTTGAGAGTTGGACCTTCATGAAACCTCAGTTTAGAATCCATGAGATGTCATGATGTCTTTTAACCCACTGGTCCTGTTCAAGTCCTCCTGTGCCCTTTTTGAGCTATGACATGAAAACAGTTGTACTTCATAGATTGTCAGCAAGGGTCTTGTTTGTTGGACACATTTTTTAGAGTGGGACCTTCTAAATACATTAATATGTAATGGTTGTAAGCAACGACTGCTTTGAACAAACATTCTCCATAGCTGAGGCCATGTTTTCTCAACACAAGTTTGACAATATCTTCTTTATACAATAATATTAATATCACAGGTGTAGATTAAATTTGCTTTTTGGAAACTTCCTTAAATGCCTAGATCTTGTCTTGCCACAAACAGTTTTGACAACAGGTACTTTATATGGTTGCCTGTAGGATACAGGTGTAGGTTTAGATTGCTTTGTGTGAACTTTACCAAGCATAGGTCTTGTTTGCACAACGTAGTTTAGACGGTCTGACCTCCTATACATTGACATGAATATACAGTGACATGGATATATAGTGACATGAATATAGCACTTGTTGGTTAAGATTGTTTGCACAACTCGGTTCTGTTGGACTCCATGAAATGAATGGTCTCTATTCTGAATTGGGGATTTGTGCCCAATGTGATTTTTTTCACAATCATTTGTTTCTTATGTAAAATATTGAATTCAAAATATATACTGCAATCAGTTAGAGCCGAGGCACATCCCCACTTTTCCTTTTATTAAAAAAATTATATATCTTTGGGAAATGTGCATGTTATTCACTTTCAGAAAATCAAGATGTTTTTTCCTATTCATTATGTCATTTGGACTTGGAGATAAGCCATGGTGTCATAAATGCAGGAAAATTCAAGTTTTGTTTAATATCTGTGCTTTATCAGTTTCTTGTTCAGATCGGTTGGCAGACATTTTAGCAGCCACCTGTTTTATATATATGCATGATTCTTAGCAAACTGTGCTTTTGTTATTGATCTGATTTATGCACAGAATATCATTGACCTAGTGTGAGATGCATGGTCTGATGAGCAAGGACCAGAATACAGGCCATTCTGCTGTCACACAGGTTGATATTAATTTGTATCCACCAATCCTGAATCTGAATGATCTACAAATCAGGATTATCTCTAGCTGCTACAGAAGTATATGTTCTTCAGACACACTGTTTAATGGATTGTGTTTATTATTAGCTATATTTGATAGCTTACTAAGGATATGATTTCCAGATCAATAATCACATAGTATACGCTATCCAGAGGAGAATGGATAAATTTTGGGATGGTGGACATTTTGATTCAAGGTCTTAAACATGAGTAAAACAGACAATTTGTATATGTGATTAGACTCTGACAGAAAAACAATATCTGACTGTAGAGAAGAATGCATTATTATGTTTCTTCTGTAGAGAACACATTATATGTGTCTACTCTTGAGCATATATAATAATGTGTCTACTCTTGAGCATATATTATAATGTGTCTACTTTTGGGCATACATTATAATGTGTCTACTTTTGAGCATATATTATAATGTGTCTACTTTTGGGCATACATTATAATGTGTCTACTTTTGAGCATACATTACAATGTGTCTACTTTTGGGCATACATTATAATGTGTCTACTTTTGAGCATACATTATAATATATCTACTTTTGAGCATACATTAAGATGTGTCTACTGTAGAGCATATATCATAATGTGTTTACTCTTGAGCATACATTATACCATGTTTACTTATGAACATATATTTTAATTTGTCTGCTGTAGAGCATACATTATAATATGTCCATGATTCTCCATGACTCCATTGTTTGAAAGACATGTAAAAACACAAACACACTTGTGAAATAGTAAAAGGACAACTCAGCTTTCAAACATATCCTGATGTGTTTACATGATACATCTATCACAGTTATATTTTAGCATGATTTTCATAATTGTTCAGCAGAATTAATTGCCATATTTTTTACTTCCCCTTTGATAGCCATTTTACTTCATCTAGAAATGATTTAGATGATTTTTAGGTAACACTTTTCTGTGTTATACATCAGGGGAATTTGGAGATCTGTGTCTTGCCATTATAGCTTCTATGAACATGTTCTGTTTGGCTGCTTAGGTAGATAACCAGATGATATAATACTATGATTGTACTGTGAGATGCATTTGTCATACTTCATTCTACATTGTATACTGAAACAAAGTCGGAGAACACAAGTATTTGAGTGTTCTAAACTTGTTTTGTGCAGTGTACAATGTTGTATTTTGTTGTGCAGTATTGTACTGAAATGAATCATTTTACAAATACTTTAGAATGTTTCCTAATGTACTAAAGATTACTCCATCTTGTTGTTATTACATGCTGAGCTGATGCGAACGTTTTATAGTAGCTCCCTTCACCATGTTCATTAGTGCTATGAGTAATGATTAGATGTTTTCTTAAAGATATCTTCATCAGGTCATACATCCTAAAACCTATGGACGGTGTGGGTAGCCTAGTGGTTAAAGCGTTCGCTCGTCACGTCGAAGACCCAGGTTCGATTCCCCACATGGGCACAATGTGTGAAGCCCATTTGTGGTGTCCCTGATATTGCGGGAATATTGCATAAAACTAAACTCACTCACTCCTAAAACCTATACTGAACAGTTTTATTAAACCTCACTTCATCATGTTTTTAAATGCTAGAACCTATACTGAACAGTTTTATTAACGCTCACTTCATGTTTTTAAATGCTAAAACCTATATGGTTTTAACAAGGCTTACTTTATCATGTTCATATTTGCAAAGGCAAATGCTAAACAGTTGTGCTAAAGCTCACTCATCATGTTCATATAGATATAGATTTGTATATATGAGAAAACGTATGCTGAACAGTTATGTTAAAGGTCAATTCATGTTCATATATGCTAATGCTTATGCTAAACAATGATGCTAAAGCTTAGTCTGTCATGTACAGAAAGGCTTGAGGGTAGGGAGGGTCCAGTTGTCAAGGATGCCACATGCTGAGCAGAGTTATGTACCTTTGCCACATCAGGAACATATATGCTGAAGCTTATGTTAAACCCAACTTACTCATATATGCTAAACTTTAGGTTAAATCCAGCTCACTCACATATGCTACAGCTTATGTTAAACCCAACTTACTCATATATGCTAAACTTTAGGTTAAATCCAGCTCACTCACATATGCTACAGCTTAAGTTAATCCCAACTTACTCATATATGCTAAACTAAGTTTTGTTAAAGCTTACTTCATCATGCTCATATATGCTAAGGTTAGTGCTATGCTCACATCATCGTTTTACATGCTAAAACTCTTACCAAAGAGTTATGGTAAAGATCATTTTATTTTCATTTGTATTAAATCTTATGCTAAACAGTTATGTTAAAGCTCACTTCATCATGCTAATATACACTAAAGCTGAAAAAAAGCTCACTTCATTTTCATTTATGCTAAATCTTATGCTAAACATTTATGCTAAGGCTCACTTCATCATGTTCATACATGATAAACAGTTACGTCAATTTAAAACTGGTGTTTGGCTCTGGATAATATATTTTGGAGCCTGGATATGAAAAATAGCTGAATTTGTATAAGAGTCCATTTTGAAAAATAGGCCATGCTTATACTTATAGTTTCCTGTTCAGCTGCTGAGGTGAAAACAGAAGAAATATATGAATAATAACTTCCACAAGCTTTTGAATGAAGCAGTAAAAGCACTGTTTATTATCTGTACCTTTCACAGGTAAAAGACTATCATTGAACTGTTTACTTCATAGACTTTCATAACACATTATTATATAACCCAGAATAAGAGCCTGTTATCATTAATGGGTTTATTGCCATGATAATCTGTCCTTTTGATGGACTCATTCTCTGAAATGAATAGGAGACAAGATCCAAAACTGAATTCAAGACAGAAATATCTGATGGTCGATATGGCAGCCTAACAAGCGCACACAATTTTCTACAATAGTGAAACTTAGGGTTTATTGAATATCATTTTAGGTATCTTAATGTTGCATTATTCAGAAAACTGCTTTTGATATTATATCTTTCAATACATGCTGTCCAAAAACAATTGGGACTTGAGATTTCATGTAGGCCTTCTTGCATCAGGCTGAAACATTGAACCTTCTTTTGCTGGTAGAAAATGTAAGACTTGTGCAACCTAGAAACTTCTTTAGAGTAATATGCACTATGTATGTGCCCTGTGGTAGGGCCCAGTTACTTTTGAAACTTTGACCTGTGGTAGGGCCCAGTTGCTTTTGAAACTTTGACCTGTGGTAGGGCCCTGTTACTTTTGAAACTTTGACCTGTGGTAGGGCCCTGTTACTTTTGAAATTTTGACCTGTGGTAGGGCCCAGTTACTTCTGAAATTTTGACCTGTGGTAGGGCCCAGTTACTTTTGAAACTTTGACCTGTGGAAGGGCCCAGTTACTTTTGAATATTTGACCTGTGGTAGAGCCCAGTTACATTTGAAAATTTGACCTGTGGTAGGGCCCAATTACTTCTGAAAATTTGACCTGTGGTGCAAAATATACATGAGGTTCAGATGTTTTAGTTCTGTCTTAGTTATTCAAAATTTGAAGTGCTTGCTGATACATTGAGTTTGTATCCTAGTCATGATGCTGCAATGAACACCATCTCAAACCAATATTGTTCTTTTGCTGAAAACAAATATTTGTGATAATCATGCTGTCAGTAGAATATTGTCTTTTTCGTGATCCAATATTGGATGATTCAGTAATGGCCTATTGTGTATAGTTCCTGGAGTGTAAGCACCTGATTTGTCTTGAAACTCAGGTGATAGTTGGTAAGTCATGGTTTCAAGACAAGTATGGAAGTCAACAGGTATTTGCCATGATCATAGTTGGAAATAATGAAGGGTTCCTTGCTCTAATACTTAGGAAGCACACTTCAGGCCTTAGGACCCAAGGATCCAAACACCAAGAACCCAAACTTATGTCAATAGTAGATTGCAAGATAATTTATATAGTGCCATCAGACCTATTCATTTGGGGTAAGTTACTATATACTGATGTAAGGAACTAGGAATATATTTGCCAATGGCCCAATTACCCTATTTGTCATTGTGTGATTTAGCTCTGTCTTGTATATGCCATCTTTCAGGCCATTGCCAGTCATCTTGATCCATGTAATACATACAGACATTTTAGTTGTATTTTGAAAATACATGTTCAGTTTAAAACCATGCCTCTAAAAAGAGTTTATGTTCATTGTAAAAATGTCGAATCCCACCTTGTACATATTTCACAAAGACAAGCATAATCGGATACAACATAATGTTTCTTTGAAATTGAAGGCACTTGGCTTTATCATTCTTGAAATTGTCTGTAAAAGAATGGCATTTCTGTTAATAAAGTTCAGGTAGTTGACAGTTCTGACTCGCCTGATACATTTATGTTTTGAAATGTTTATCGAAGTTTAGAAAATGTTTGTTTTTTGACTGTAACCAGTGCAACAAGGAGAGTTAGCAAGAGTGGTTACCATGGTTACACAAGGATTTTGTTACATTTAATTTTTGGATGTATTCATTGATGTACCTATTAGACCAAAAGGAATATATACCTTGTATGTATGATTCAATGTGTTTCCGTCATAAATAAATGTTTGATGAAGGACCTGTTTTGTGTAATGTTTGTATAACAGGATTGTGGCAATACACTTTATGACAGCGTCACCAGCTCATCCCTAGTGTAAGAGGTGATCGCCCTGGGCTCGCTTACTTGGTGGATGGTAAGAGGTGACTAACAGGATTGAGTGGTCAAGCTCGCTGACTTGGTTGACACGTGTCATTGTATTGATAGATTGATGCTCATGCTGTTGATCACTGGATTGTCTGATTCGATTATTCATGACTACAGCCATATAGACGTCATATGATCGAAATATTCTCAAGCACGACGTAAAACCCAATTTCACCACCTCACAGCCATATAGCTGAAATATTGAATGCAGTGTTAAACAAAAAACAGCAACAATATTTGGTTGATGTATCTCATCATATCCCACTAGCATAGATCGATCATCATAGTGTTAATCACTGGATTGTCTGGTCCAGACTTGATTATTTGCAGACCGCACCGCCTTCATATAGCTAGAATATTGCTGAGTGTGGCGTAAAACAATAGACAAACATGTTTTCAGGGTTTATATAAATAGTGTTGATGTCACACACAGTAAACCGGCTTACATATCAATGGCGTTGTTACTATGGTAATCTACCTGCATCCGTTTCCGTCCTGACTGTCAACCTGACTGTTGATGTATTTCATCATATCACAGTAGCGAAGATCATTCCTCATGGTGTTAATCACAGAATAGCCTGTAACAGACTTGATTATTTACAAACTGCCATCACCTGTGAAGGTCCGGGTTAGAATATTGGCCTTCAGTAACCCATGCTTGTTGTAAGAGGCGACTAACAGGATCGGGTGGTCAGGCTCTCTGACTTGGTTGACACATGTCATCGGTTCCCAATTGCGCAGATCGATGCTCATGTTGTTGATCACTGGATTTTCTGGTCCAGACTCGATTATTTACAGACCGCCGCAATATAGCTGGAATATTGCTGAGTGCGGTGTAAAACTAAACTCACTCACTCACTCACAAACTGCCATCATATGCATGGGTGAGTTTATTTTACTCTGCTTTTAGCAATATTCCAGCAATATCACCCATGTAGGGAATCGAACCCGGGTCTTCAGCATGACGAGCAAGCGTTTTATCCACTAGGCTTCCCCACCGCCCCTCATATACATAATACAGCTGGAATACTGAATGTGGCTGCTGGCACTAGTCAGCTACAACAGAGTTTGACTGCTTGGTTAATGCATGCCATGATACCCAAACAGCCTGAGATGATGTTCTTAATATCAGTCACTAGTTTGTCTGCTCCAGACTGGGTTGTTCACAGGGCGCCGTGACATAGCCCAAATATTGCTGACTCGACAACAATAACACACTGATAACTCAACATCACCAAATCTGTATGTTGTAAGGTAAGTGGAGTATACTGTATGTTCCAAGCTATTGCTTGCCATGAGAAAGTCTTTGGTTTGGTACTACATGCCATGTGTGATAAACCCATCCTTGGTGTCCACAATGATATTGTTGGAATAATATTCAAAAATATAAATATAAAAATAAAAATATAAAACAAGGAAAATTCTAGTGAGCTACAGAACCTGAGGATTTGTAATTTCCCAGATCCTGTAAGACCTGTCAACTTGCAGTGGTATTATGCAGGCTTTTTTCAGTGGCAAACATTTCCCAAACATGGCCATGCGTTGGAACTGAAAGTCTTTTAAAATACTGTGGATATTGCAGAAATTTCTTTATTCTCAGAGGTCAGGTTTTTCTTTAAGTTATTTTCGATCAAGTACCTGGAATCTAAAAATCTGGACAGTTGAAAAAATATTGGTTTGTGCATAAATGAACCTGTCTCAGACTAATATTTGTTTTTACCGATATACATTTTAAGTCATACCATTGAAGTGTTGTCAAAACCCATAATGTTGGAGCAGTGATATTTTGATATTCATTCAACACAACAAACATCTTAGAAACTGAAGGAAGTGGTTATGTGAACAGTGAGAGTTGTTCTTGACCAGCACACCTCCTGTCAGATGTCTTTATCATGGGGTTCATCTTATGAATGTGAGTGAGTTTAGTTTTATGCCGCTTTAAGCAATATTCCAGCAATATCATGGCAGGGGACACCAGAAATGGGCTTCACACATTGTACCCATGTGGGGAATCGAACCTGGGTCTTTGGCGTTTAACCACTTGGCTACCCCGCTGCCCCTCACTTTATGAACCCAGTCATTACATACATGATCAATCAGAAGGTTCAGGTCTTGTGGGTTCAGAAGAAGACTCAAGTTAGTGAGTGAGTGAGTGAATGCATGGGTGGATGGGTTTGAGTGAGTGAGTTGGATTTTACTCTGCTTTTAGCAATATTCCTGCAATACCACAGCAGGGGACACCAAGAATATGTTTCCACATTGCACTGATGTGGGGAATTGAACCTGCACCTTCGACATGATGATCAAACTCTTTAACCAATCCACTTTGACCTGACCTTCGAAGCATGTGTTATCAGATCTTCAAATAGGTTTCATATTTGAAGACCGCCTTCGTGGTGTAGTGGTTAGAGCGTCCTCCGGAGCGACGTTTCGATATAGATCATTATTATGAACCTGGAGCATCCGCCCGGAGAGCGGAAGGTCGCGGGTTCGATTCCCGACCGCGTCATACCAAAAGACGTTAAAATATGGTACTTGTTGGTCCCCACGTGGCGCTCGGCATAAATGGGTACAACAAGGACTGGTCGGCTCGGAGTCAGTATAATGTGTCTTAGTGGGGTATTCATGCTTCACTGCGGCGTGGTATCTC